GAGGGCCTGGCGTGCTGTGGTCCATGGGGTCACGAAGAGTCAGACACGACTAAACGACGATGAAGATATATGGTATTTTAATGATTTGATTAAATGCACTGAATAAAGAACATCTGTGATTCTGGTTAAAGTTGATACACTTCAATAAATAAGTTCTGTTGGCAGTAACCAGACAAGTGTCCGACTAAAGTTCTTTATACATCATGGATAAAGGAAATCCACTGGTGGCAGTGAAGAAAAGAGGGAACGTTACAATTGATATCTGCTGGTGGGATGACATAGTGTGAACCCTTTGTTTGGGGAAACAAGCAGGGGCCACGTGTTAAACGTCACAGGTACTAATGCTGATTTGGATTTAATGGTGATGGTAGTGACACTCCAGACTTCCTAGAAAAATTGTCCATAAGCTCTGGAAGCCAAGACTATGGAAATGGAAATGAAAGACAGTATTTCATCCACTAAGTTTAATCATGTGAATAGAAGCAGTAACAACTAAAAACAGGAACACTGCTTAAGTGAGAAGAGAGGAGGAAAAGCACCTGCAGCCCTACAGTGTTTTTATTATGCAATTTTTACTGGTTTAATATTTGCATTTTGCAGTTTTAAATGTTACTTTTAAATAGAAGTCTGTGTTCAGTTTAAAAAGTGGGGTATGTTTATTTATTTTATTAAATAACTATTCAAATATAATCATGAGCCACCACCTTATTTTTTGGTTGACTCTTTAGTATTATATTGGACATAAAGGTTATGTGAAAATGATAAAGCAAAAATTATTATTTCATCAAGTCTGTTTGTTTTATTTTATTAAGTTGGATGACTTTCTAACTTTTTAACTAAGTGTTTGTTTTAGAATTTGTGATCATTTTTAAAAATACAGATAGGAAGTTGCAATCTGTCCTAGAAAAAAAGCAACTGGCAAAAAGTGTTCAAATATATCAATGTAGATATTAGGGGGTCATCAATAAATATATCAGAATATTAATTCGAGGATCATAATGACTTATGAACTATTTGAACAAAAATAAAATGAAGACAATATTTACCACTGGATCCAGCAATGGAATGAGGTTCTAGAAGAGGAAGCACAGAGACTGACATTTGCGGTGTTGTTAGCAGTGAAGATACCTGAAGCTGAAACAGAAAGCAACACATAAAGTTGTTTCAATGTAAATGATTATTCTATTTTGGTTAATATATTTTATATAAAGTGCTAGAGAGCTTAGTGGTTTGCGTATTTGAGTTAAGAGTTCTGATTCCCAACTGTGCCTTGGGGGCAGGGACTGGGGTCAATGATCCATAGGGTCCCTTTGAGGTCCACAGCTCTAAGATGACGACAAAGATGATTTACATAACAAATTACCTGACATTTCTTGGAAGTTCCAAACAGTGAATAATAATCATAAAAACAAAAATATCAACCATAAAAGCAGTTACTAGAAATAGAATGTGAGACATATTCATAGAAATCCTGCTGCACAGTTATGCAAAGGCTGAACTTCTGTAACTGAATTGCTGTGCAACAGATAATGTGACTCGGCATACAGCAAATAATACTTGCAAATATTTCTTAACTTATGACAGTTTGCTTCCAAAAGTTACACTTTTTGCATAACTGCACACCAGGATTTCAGCCATTAAGTTTCCCTTATAAAAACAGCAGCAGGAGGTATTAAAATGTAAACAAACTGTAGCTTTTAATATTGTTTTTATTCATAGGTTTTTAATATATTTGCTGAATTCTATTTCAATATTGCAATAATTTATTATGTTTAGCTTTTATACTGTTTATTTTTAAGTATGTAAGCTGCCTTGAATCCTTTGTAGGCCGCTTACCTTCAGTCCTAAGTCACCTTACATAATTAAAAGATGATATCAAAGCTGCACACTGTAAATATATAAAGACTTGGTAACATAAAGTGATTATGCTAACTCTCTATGCAGTCTCGGTGATACAATGTGGTGACCCTTCTTTGGCTCTTGGTAACTACCGGTAACTAAATGTCTAAAGGACTTTTGAATAACTTTAGTTCTAGATATGTTAATAGGTTAATGCTCTGCAGATATCCAGTGTATGGAGTGAGTTTTCCAATTCCAAGGTAGGTGACAGGAAGAATGTAGAAACTACTATGGGTTAATTTCGATGAAACTCAGATATCATCTTGGGTAAGAAAGAGAGATTTGAAATAATATCACTTTATCCTTATACAGCTGCAGAAAAGGTGGATTGCACTGAGGGGCACCCAGTCCACTAGCCCTGCATGTGGAACTAAGTGCAACCAAGAATACAATCTTATAAGTGAGTAACCTGAGATCCAAGGTTGCTATAGGTTCAAATGGGGGTCTCATAAATAGAAAATGTAGCAGTGTAAGAGACCACTGTGACATCAGGGCTCTGATCTCTGACTATATATTTTTAAGCCCTTTCAAAAACATTTTGAGGACTGGATTTCAGAAGAAACAAGAAGCTACAGAACCTTAAGGATTGTATGCTATGATTGCAGACAAACACACTTAGAGATGACTGAGTCCTTTTTTCTTTAAGATATAATAATAATAATAATAAGAAGAAGAAGAATAAGAAGAAGAAGAATAAGAAGAAGAAGAATAAAAGAATAAAAGA